GTTAGCGCACTGCCTGCGCTACGAAGCCGGGCCACGGCTAACGTCAGTGGCGAGTGGTGGTATCGATATTCTAGCCTGAGCCTCGCTTAGGTCCACGCGGCATTGGGGGAGACAAAGGCGGGCGGGTCCTCCTGCCGGTCTTCATTGCTCGCTAAAACCACTTTGCCCCCCAAACAAGTCGTTTCGGCTATGCGCGGGGCAGGCATCTTAATCTCTGTGTGGTTTTGTGTTTTTTGTGGTGCCGTGCCGTGAACCTGCCAGCGATCGAGCACTTCGCGTGCACCTAACCTGGCACAAGTGCATTGGTGGGGACGTCACCCCCCCCCCCCGCTCCGCTGGGTGCGTGCGGGGAGCGGTGGCAAAACGGTTAGCGCGCTGCGAACCCGGCCACCCGAGTTCGATTCCCGCTCACGGCCAACACCAAGTGACGATTACCTTGAACCGGTCCTGGACTTCCCCTAGGTCGACTCAGCCTCAAATGAGTACCCGGTGGTGTGTGTCACCGCTGGGGAGACAAAGGCGGCCGGGCGTGGTGTTGGCCACTCACCCCCTCGTGTGCCGTGCCGGCCCTCATGGGTGCTACTCGCAGACAGCACTTGTCCCCTACAATCTGTTTAGGCTACACGGGGGATCTTTGTATTTGTCGTCTAAAAGGCAAAACTGGGGATTCATATTCTTGGGTCTTTCGGTAAAGTCACGTAGATAGGTTCAAAGAAAATAACAAAAACTACGACGTTTCGATCGTCGCCCGGCCGCCTTTGTCTTTTTTGACGCGACTTTACCAAAAGACCCACGAATATGAATTCCTGCAGTCACGAAAGCTTTAAGTAAAAACTGGGGATCTGTGCCTTCCTTGTACGTGTGAGCACACGTGTCTTAGTGTGTTTGCCCTTGCGTGCTTTACGTCTTCTTTTGTGCACGAGTGTGTTGTGCGTGACCCTAGGTCGACTCAGCCTTAAAACTTGTACCTGTTCCGGTGTGTAAACACATCACACACTGGGGAGACAAACACCACAGCCACACTCCTCAGCCCCTTCATAATGCCGTGGCAGCCTCCATAGATGCTTGCTAACAGCACTTGCCCCAAAATTCTTGCGAAGGCTATACGGGGGATCTTTGTCTGTGCGTCGTGGCTGCCTTGAAATGTGTTCGCTCGCAGCACTTAAGTCTGTAAGATGAATCAACCCTACACATTGGTCCATAACACTGCCGACGTTTCGGGCTGTGGCCCTTCGTAACACCGACGAAGGGCCATTGAGTCTGTTATCTTTATCAAGAATGTGTTATTTAGGCTGGAGGAATCCGATGAGCTATGAAGCTCTTCATGTCCAGACGTCCATTGCCATAAATGTCCCCTATGACATTGCGTGCTCTCTTTTACGGCCACACCACGGCGATGTTGACGAATGTATTGATTTTGTTTGTAAAGCTCTCCTCCTGCAAACTTAATTTGGAGCTTTCGTGACTGCAGGAAGTATTCTTTGGTTCTTTCGGTAAAGTCACGTATAAAGATAAAATAATAAATTAAATGAAATACTAGCATACGACGTTTCTATTGCAACACAAGCAATCATCATCAGGTATAGATTAAATAGAAACACAAATCTAGTATACTTCGAAATGTAATGTAATACAACAGAGAGTCGCATAACATAACAGTCAACACCCTACCTGGTTGATTACGTTCTTCCTGAGAATGCTAAATTTGAGAGAGAGATAAAACACAGAACTAGAGACATATAGACAGACATATAAGCAGACAGATATCACAGAGATACATAGAGAGAGAACAAACATAGACACACAGAGAAACCTCCTCCTGCAGCCACGCGGCAAGCAGTTAGCGGCAGCGTCACCATATTACAGGCAGACCTCGCTTAACGCTCAACATGCGGGCAGGGAGGGAGGGAGGGGGGCGCGCAAAGCGAGGTGTGCCTGTAGTCTGTAATACTAAGTGGTGGTGAGCTCTTGAACAGATACACGTGTCCACGTCGCTTCTTGCACGTGCTAAATTACCACCAAAGCTGTGTTGGGGATCGCTTGCAATTAGCGTCACGCAGCAGCGATGTCGTTCGACATGAAATTAGCAGTCGTCGTCTGGGCGTCGATCATCTCTTAATTGACCCTATTTTGTGCACTTAAAAGTTGCGCACGTTTCGTTAAATGGTTCACGCGCGTGGTGGTTGTGGTGGTGGTGTCCCGCGTGGGGCTGAACAACAATTCGAGGGGGGAGGGGGGGGGGCGACTCCACGCTCCTACGCGTCTCGTGTAGGAGGGCGTCGCTATATGGGGTAAGTCCTCGTTTAACGCGACGGCGGTGGTGTAGAAGTAGTAGTAGATGCGTTCCTAAAAAAAAAATTCGCGTTAAACGAAAAACGCATTGAGCAAAAAAAACAACAATCCCCCCCCCCTAACCCCCACGCCCCCCGTACATAACGTAACGATGACGTTTGGCGTGATAACGATGTGTTACTACGCACACGCAGTGAGATGGCGGGACAAATAACGGAGGGGACACCGCCACCGCGTTACTGCAGCAGTCTGCGTACTGTATCACTGAACCACTCAGCCGTGCAGCTCCAAAAAGTAGCAATGGTGCCCGTTGTGCATTATAATGGGGCGCGTTCCGCGTTAAAATGGGGCCCGTTTCACGTTATAACGGTGTGCGTTCCGTGTTATAACTGTGCGCGGTCCACATTAAAACGTGGCCCGTTTTGCGTTGAGGCCCCTTTTCGCGTTATAATGGGGCCCGTTTCACGTTATAACGGTGCTCGTTACACCTCATGTGAAGTGTTCCCAAATGGAAGACCCGCGTGATCGCGAAAACGCGTTGTAGTGTGAACCCCACGCGCTAAGAGAGGACTTGCCGTGTAATCCTTAACAGCGAGCGTGCGGACAGAAGTACGAGTTGAGAGATGATAATGCAAAACCCCTTTGTCAATCCACTGCTGGCTAAAGGCCTCCCTACGCAATTGCTCACGAGGATCAGATCGTTTGACCACATTTCAGCACGCTGGTTCAGTGTGATTTGGTAAAACTATAAACTTCTATTTTACCAGGTAAGGCCCACTGAGCTATGTAGTTCTTTTTTAGAAACGGCCTGGCTGCAAATGATAGCTCAACAAAGTGGCTTATCACGTAGAAATGTACAGCAGCCAAATACTCTAAACGCATATTTCTAAACGTGGAGGGAAAATCCGGAGGACCCGGAGAAAAATCCACACGACCACGGGAAGAGAGACACGCAAACTCCAAATATACAGCAGCAGATGTCAGGGTGGGGATCGAACCCACGAACCTCCTGTATACTAGGCGAGGTAGTTAACATCTCCTAGCCATCGTGGCGCCGTGGTGATTTTGAAAGCCCAGGATCGGTTGAGCTATCACTCGCCACTGATGCTTGCCGTGGCCAGGAGTCGAACTCGGGTTCACGTTGCGATGTTGCTCACCACTACACCACCTCACACAGTTGTTTATGTCAATAGCCTCACGTCCGCATGGCTTCAATAGTTCAGTCACGATGAACAATCATCAGCAGTTGCAATGTCATCATCCAACGCGACGTCATCACACTGGCGGATATAAAAACAAAGCGATGCAGCTGTAAGAGTATTTTTTTTTATTGAACAGTTTATTACAACAAATTATATAAATAACGCACTGATTTAAAATAATTACTCGTAGCAAATGCATAGATTGACCGGTATATGTTTTCTTTTTTTCGTAATCTTAACTTACAATAGCAACATCTACAATTAAAACTGACATTCTTCCAAACGTCACCCCATCGAAAGCGGTCACATTGCAACAATTCCACACGTTTGAACTACAGGGCCGCAGGGTGCGCGTTGTTGGGGAAACGTGGCGGTGGACGGGTTTGGTTGCCTGCAACACACATTTCAACTGTTTGCCTGCGACCAAAGCGTTGCACATCAACCACACCACGCAGTAGTAACCCGCTGGGTCGCACGCGCTTCCACAAAATCGCACGACCGCCGATTCGTCGCGAGCTGTTTCACCAACGCGGTGGTTGCAAGCGACGAGTCGCCGACAAACGGAAGTCGCCCAGGGGGGGACAAGAGCTGGCTGCGATTCTTTCCCGGTTTCGAGGCTGCCGATTTGAAACTCGAGTCGCTGTCGGGAGCGACGTCAGAGCTCGGGGTGAAGTTACGTTTTAGTTTCACGACAGTCGTAATTGACGCTGCGTTACCGGAAGGAATCCATTCGGAAATCTCACCGAGCTATGTGACCACCACCACCACCACCCCCCACACACACCGTGTGTTCGATAACGGCCGCGCAAGAGATGTTTACAGAACTTCTTCTGAAATACCCTTCCAAGTGGCAGCTTTTAAACCGAAAAGCAACATGGGGCGAAGCTTTTTGCGCACACACTTTGCCAGGACATTGGTGTTTGTCGCGTGACGGGCAAAATCAAGATTTTAAAATTTAGTGAAACCGCACAAATGTAACGTGATATTTTTGCGCAGTCATTTGGAGACTGGGCCGAGAACATCTGGCTACACGTGAGGACCACGTTTTAACGAAAAGCGGCCTAAGTCTAGATACTAATCCAGTATCACAGTGGTGGCAGCTCCGCTCTCTGACCTCTGACCCAGAGTTCTATTCGGTTTGAGTTTAATTTTCTGCATAGTCGCAGGAGCGTGTGACCCAGCTTCATGCAGAACTCCTATCTGTTGTGATGTGGGGCACAAACATAGCAAATCTTACGTCGTTATCCGCTTGGTTATCTGGGAAGTTACTACACCCATCTGTCGGGCAAAATTGCGAATAATCTGAAAATAATGGGGACTACTTCGCCGATTGGCTATCTGCGGAAACATTCGAGCGTAAGAATTTCGGTGGAATTTCCCGATGAAGACCCGCGGATCATAGGAGTTGTAGGTATTAGGGTCCAACGGATAAGGGGGGTTTGTCTTCAATGAGAGATTTGTGGCAATTACAAAAATTAAAGTGGCCCACATTTTCAACGATCGTCCGTGGACCACGGTGAAGGTTAGGACCGCAGGAGAACGCCAAAACTTTGCTCGTAATGATTTCTTTTGTACGATCGATAAAAGTGGTTAAAAAAATAACAACCAATTCATTCGGAAAGGTTGTGTCACAAATCGCTTTTATTGAGCAAATAAAGAAATTGGTGCCGCTAAAGTTTCGTCGCCTTGGGCGGTCATGGCAAAGTGAAACGTTCGGTCTCGGCTCGTGAACCGTGGACGGTTCTTGGTTGTTGTTGTTGTTTTGCGAAAGGAAAGTTAAGTTGGAGGCACAGCCAGGAATTGTAAGGTGTTCACATTGGTGTCTGGGAACCATTGCTCCTTCCGGTTTGTAACGTTATACACGTGAAAGAGAAAATGCCGCAGAATTGGAAAACAGAGTCGAAAACGGATGCTTCAAGTCATCGATGGACATCGATTCTGAAGCTCCCGATGCACCCAATTAAAAAGGCGACGTTTGTCGATCACGACGCATGTAATGGAGGTCACGTGACTCTCCACCACCGGACGTTGAGACGACGATCGATTCTGGAATCGAATCGCGACCCCCGATTGACGACAGATCATCGAATTGTCTCGAATTGATCGTTACGGTCAACCAGCTGAGCCAAACATGACATTATTACGAGAACACTGGATGGAGAATCTTGATGGCTTTTTCACTGTAAACGATATTCCCAGATACCGAATCCGGTAAATGCACGCATTTGGGATAAATTTGACAAGTGAATGTTCAAGATGCACCCCCCTCCCCTATACTTGCAATCTGTGAAAAAGCGCGTTATGGCTCATGGGATTCCTCCAGGATAAATAAATGATTCTGATTCCTGGCTGTGTCCCCTAATAACAAGACAGCCTTTAAAGCAACAGCCCCCCCCCCCCCCCCAAACCGAATTTCGAAACAGTGTGGATCAGGGTTTAATGTTTTTTGCGTCCGAGTTAGCGACGTTTGCACTCCGGCACACCGCATCCAGGACACACCATCCTGCGATGGCCTGTGGACACTGGTCGCGCGCTAACCTACTCCAGTCTACGGGCGACTCGGTAATAAATACTCGGCGAGAAATCAAGTCCCGCTTGGAGCCCACTCCGATCGGACGATGACCAACGGCAGTTGGGGGGGGGGGGGGCCTGAATGCAGACAATGCCGTTTCGGCTTTCTCGTCAATGCGGCGAGGCTGTGATTGTAGTACGACAACTCGAGCGTTTTCCCGTAACTCACCCCCCCCCCCGCCGAACGCGCACGAACCAGCGTCGTAACCCCTCTCGTTTTTACTCGGAAGCAAAGAAAGGTCTATCGCAAACCGAACTTACACGACATTGCTACGGCGCTGTAACAGGTCCTGCGTTATAGCCCCAGGGATTACAACAAGAACGGTGAACAGACTGGGGACTTGGAGAGGAGGGGGGGGGAACTCGATGATGGGAGTTCGGGCGAAAGACGAGGGGGGAGGAAAAACAACGAGAAAAATTGAACGTGTTCTTAATTTCAAACACAACAGTGCGCGGCGCAATCCTGTTTTCAGAGACATCGAACTGATCGTTTCAATAAATTACCAATAAGTTACACGGGCACAGACAAAACGTGGAGGGGGGGGAGAGGGGTCGGCACAGCGCTCGACAAGACGCCACAAACACGAGGGAGGGAGGTTTGAGCGGTCGTCAGGGTTTCATTTCAGCCAGGTCCATCCGGGTGGGTGAGCCCGAAGCATTTTTTCCCGCGCAAACCCGGCACACCACATCCAGTATACTGTTGATGCAGATCCCTCACTGTGGGGCCGCGGCTACTAGTAGTCACGTGCCATCTCCTGGAATACGGTGATCCGGGGAATATATTCGGTGAGAACTTAAGCCCTAAGCGATGTAAGGATTCGCCTGCCGAATTGTTACATTTGACACGGGGGGGGGGGGGGGGGGGGAAGGAGCAATCCACTTTCTTAACGCAGCTCTTTTAAATTGGCCTTCCCGGATTTAATGCCCCCCCCCTCCACCCCCTCTCCCCGTAGCAAAGTGGCCGAACATGGTCACAGTTGACGAGTGTTGCGGCCGCGGATTTCCCTTGCAAAACACTGAACAGAACGTCGGGCGGTGGTGATGTCGTCGTCACATGGAAGGTGCGAGCGACGCGAGTAAGGCCATCGCGTCTCCGTGAACTCGGCGGCGTTCCCTGGCGATGAGCGCAACGCAATTTGGATTCGTGCGGCGGTGGCTAAATGAGACGGCATCTCCGTGATGCTGCGCAGGAAGAGTGGGGCTGTTGTACTTTCTGACGAGAGGCAGTCCTCAGTAATAGGCAGAGGAGAATAGGAAGACTTTTCTTTTTAGCCTGGACTTGAACAGCGGCAGGGGGGAGCCGACAGCACGGATGGCTGGGGGGTGGGGGGAAGGAGTTCCAGCCTCAGGGTGGTGCAGCAGAGGAGAAGAGGTGACCTCTCGCTGAGCAAAGGGGATTCGACACAAAAGGCCTGTTTCTGGAGAGAAGAGTGCATGGAGTGAAATAAAAGGGGAGGGGAGGTAGGAGAGTGCGTGGAGGGGAGTAGAGTGAGATGGGAGGGGAGAGGTAGGAGAGTGCGTGGAGGGGAGTAGAGTGAGATGAGGGGGGAGAGGTAGGAGAGTGCGTGGGATGAGAAGGGAGAGGTAGGAGAGTGCGTGGAGGGGAGTAGAGTGAGATGGGAGGGGAGTGGTAGGAGAGTGCGTGGAGGGGAGTCGAGATGAGGGGGGAGAGTTAGGAGAGCGTGTGGAGGGGAGTAGAGTGAGATGAGAGGGGATAATAGGCAGGGGTGAGTCCATGGAGAATCTTGAAGGGAGTGAGTGTGATTTTGAAAGTAATCCGTGATTGGATTGGGAGCTAGGGGCAGGATCAGATCATTGGGACGATGCATTACATTGCAATGCAAATTACCTGTGCAGATGCACAGTGTATTCGGCGTGCACTGGGGCCAGTTTGCCATCGGAGGCCTTCATCCGCAAAGAGTTCACGGCTTCGCGATGACTCTTCCTTCGTGTGGGCCACACCACAGACGCATAAATACATAATCTCTCTTAAAATAAAGCATGCATTCCAAATATAAAAGTCATCTTTAGAATATTTATATAGAAAAAGTATAGAATTCCTGTGCAAATTTTGTATAAAATGTACAATTAATTTCACACCAGCAATCATACCCACGAGCCTGCAATCGACTTTCAATTCTTACACGCCTCGCTCTTTCACCTAACTCCAGCAAAGGCGTGGACTAAATTATACACATTTAAAATAATAATTATCATAAGATCGACACGTTCGCCCCGAGAATAAAAAAATCACCATCAAGAGTTCATTACTCTTTTTGGGCTCACATGTACGTAATGTCTTAATGCTAACACACACACACCACAAGGTTTTGCTTATCGATTAAGATGTTAAAGGGGCGGGCGGAAATCATCTTCAGAAAACATTGAAACAGAGACACTGCAAAAAGGTTATGGCGAACGTACGACTCTGTGCTGCCAACTGCACGCCACAAACAACAAGTTTCAAAAAACGACAGAACGCCACAATAGTTCGATAAAAATGGAAGTACTGTTTTCCGTGCATTTAAGCAAACGTTGTCATTTTCTATTTTACCCCCCCCCCCCCCCCCGTGGGGGGAGGGAGACGGACCCACACGTTTGAACGTCCGAAGTTTACAAAAAGTATACTCGGTTTTTTTTTTTGGGATAAAACATCTGTTTTGCTCAACAGTTTTGTCCTGTTTCGAGGAGCCAGTCTATTGCAGTTCATCTTGCTGTTAGGCACATCGGAAAATACGGATAACGCAACGTCCTGTGTAAATACCTGCAATGGAAAACCGTTATTCATTTCAGAATTATCTTTGCTTGATGTCGAAGTTTGTGCTTGATTTCAATAAATACTATAAATATTAAAAAAAAAAATCCATTTCCAACATTCATGACCGAGTTGGCCAAGGCACAAAATCGGCCTTAATTTCGAAAAACGGGAGGAGTGAGGCAGTTCAGTTTAGTGTCATGTAAAGCGTGCATCTGCACGGTGCAGTCAAAACACAAAATAACGTTTAAGAAAACTTCAGGGGAGGCGGCGGGTCTTTCCGTCGTTATCACGACCCCACTAGAACCTCCATGATTTGATCGAGTTCGCTGAAGTCCGAGCTTCTAAGCGGCTGCGAGCCACCGCCACCACCGACGCCGCCACCGCAGGGCGACAAGTTCCTGAGCAGGTCTTCCGACAGCGAGCCCGGCGGCACCTTCCCGGGTGCCACCAGGAGGGACACGGAGAGGCCCGGCGGCCACGGGTCGGCTGCGTCCGCGTCGTCGTACATCGACGTGTCGATGTCCGCAAAGTGATCGTCCAGCTCCACCTCCAGGTCGGCGAGCAGGCGCGCCGCGGGGCCCACCGCGATCTCCAGCCCGCTGAACACCGAGTCCAGCTCGTGCCAGTCGCACCCGCCCGTCGCCGGCCAGCCCCGCGGGACGCCGCCGTTGCCGCCCACGCAGACGCCCGCCGCCGCCGCCGGCCCCACGCCGACGGGACCTCCTCCGCCGCTCGTCCCCGAGCCGTCGCCGTCGCCGAACACGAGGTCCTTGAGCGCCGAGGTGAGCGCGCACGAGATGCTCTCGAGGCCGCCATGCAGCAGCCGCTGCTCCACGGCGCCGAGCTTGGCGAGCCGCTCGTAGTCCGGGCCGCCCTCCGACCCGTCGTAGTCGTGGCAGACGGCGCAGCCCGGGGCGGGCGTCGGCTCGCGCTCGACGTCCCCGGGGCACGCGAACGCCGCGGCCATGGCAGCCGCCGCGGCCACGGCGCCGGCCGCGGCGGCGGCGCGTTCCTCCTCGCCGCACATCTCGGTCTGGATGCGCCGCACGGTGTTGGCGACGAGGACGGAGCGCCGCAGGCTGGGGTCGCGGAGGGCCTGCCCGGCGTGCATCTTGCGGAGCGACGCGTCGAGCACGCGCTGCCGGCGCTGCGTGTAGCCCGGGCCGCCGCGGCGGCCGCCGTCGACGACGACGCCGCCGGCACCGCTGCCCGGGCACAGCCGCTCGGCGGCGCCAGCGTCGCCGTCTTCGCCTCCGGCAACGCCCGGGAAGCCGTCCTCGTCGGCGCTCAGCTTCCGCTTCACTCCTTTACCCATGGTGACTTGCTGCAGGCCGCCGCAGCTGCAACGGAAACAGATTCGTGTTGGTTGGCCATTGTTTGTGTGTACGAGCGTGCGCGTGTTTTTATCGTATACCGTTCCGGCCTTCATAGATGCTTGCTAAGAGCACTTTCCCCAACAGCCTGTGTAGGCTATGCGGAGGATCTTTGTCTTTTGTTTCATTGAGATTGGCATATCAGCGTCGTTTCGCGGGACGGAGGATATATTCAACGACGTTATAGAGTATAGCATCCTCCGTGTTTGATAACAGACCAGAGACTCCTCCATGTTACGTTTATTTAGGGTGTAGACTTGGGGAGTTGGACTTTCGCGCACGTGCCCTGCTACGGCGGAAATGTTTCATCGCACGACGAACAAACCGATGTTTTTGGAATGCTCAGAGTTGGAATTTATCCCAATTAAGTGCACAACCGCATTTCACGGTTATACTTTGTGTGTGCGTGTGTGTGCAGCCATTGGTGATTTGGTCGAGGCGATCAACTCGCTTGAGAGAACCCTGTTTTAATAACGAAGACCGCCGAACACAAATTCGAACCCCGGGGTTCTCGGCCGTGCTGTGGCTCCGGGTCCCACTCCATCCTCCTGAGCAAACCCAGCCACCCCTCACGGCTTTTTGACGATTGAAATGAAGGCGACTCGCGTGCGCTCGGTACGCGGTGCAGTGCACACCACGTGGCATCACGAGGGCGAGCCACCTCGTAAACGCCCCGTAATGCATCTTAATAAACCCGCCTCGTACGCACGAAATAAAATTCAATAAATCAAGCCCGGCTCCCCCCTCCCCCCCGTAAACACGCCTGGTGTTGGTGGCTTATTGCACGCGTCCCATCGATAGCGGGGAGGAGGAGGGAGAGAAAAGAAAAAATGAATGAAATAAATAAATCGCTAAAGCTGTTTATGCAACGTGTCGAGCAGGCGGGGCCGAAAGGCGCTCGCGAGCGCAGGGCGGAGGAGGAGGGAGCGTGTTGCATCGCAGCCAACTGGCCGTCGTCCTGAGACCCGCCCCGCTGAGGCTTTGTCAAACGACAACCCTCGCTGTGTCTCAAGCTACGGTGAGAGCGCGGCCAAACCCAGGGGGGACCGGCGCGCGCAGATTAATGGCGATCTCGCTTCGAAAAAGATGCGGCGACGGACAGAGAGAGAGAGAAAGCGCCTCCGGTTAGCACGGTTGGCTACGTACGGTGCGAAAGAAGTTCAACATGCGCAAGTAGAGAAGCGGACAGAGAGAGCACTGCAAGGAGATACCCGGTGAAGGAAACCGGGCGTGCCCCAACAGCCCAAAAGGTCGAGGCACGAGGAGATGAGGCATTCGTCCGCCCCCTTCCCCAGCGATTCTATGAATCGTCGCGATCCAGGGTCGCAATCCCATTTTTTTCCTTCTCATTTTCAACCATACTGTATTGTGTTTTTCGCATCGAGTTTTGTGTTCGCTCCACGAGCCTCAACGAAACGTCGGCAGATGCGCTCATTTCTGCGGACGTATTTGCACGAATGGCGACCCCCCAGGATCGATTGATGTTCGTTCGCGCGTGCGGCACGCCATCGTTAACACGGCCCGCCGAATAGAGCGTTGTGGGTTTAACTTGAGCATCTACAGCGCGGGCGGTAGCCGCAACCGCCGTCAATGCAATTCCATTCATTCCTCCCGACTGAACGAACGTCGTCTGACATTGCCGCCACCTCGCCCGACGCGCGCCGCCTCGTCCGTGCCGCGGCGTCCGCGGAGTCGGCGACATCGCGATGGCTGCGCTGGCGTCGAGAGCCGCGTTCGTAACAGGCCGACGTTCTGGGCAATGTTTATTTATTTTGCGGAGCACATTGCTGCCATGACAATGTTGTTGTTTGTTGCTGTTGCTGTTGTTGTTGCGTAGCTCTTCGATCGCGACGCGGGCGTCCCGACGTCTCGCCCCACTTCAGAAGAGATTCGTGGGTTCGGTTCGTGGACGAGCTCCCGGCGCGCGGAGCCAAAAACGTCGGACGTCGTGCCGAACAATGCACGGCACGATCCGAAAAAACGCAGCCGTTAAAGCTAAGCAAGTCACCGCTGGGGCGCCCGCTGTACTGCGAGATCTCCAACAACTCGTTGGTGTATGCTGGCCGATCCAGCCCTGGATATGACGCACACACCAAACTAACATTTCCCTTACTCTTAGTTCTTTCGGTAAAGTCACGTAGGTAAAAAATGAAATTAAAATTCATACAAATAAAATAAATATATTTTTATTCATTTTAATTTCATTTCAAAATAAAATAAATATATTTTTATTCATTTTAATTTCATTTTTTACCTACGTGACTTTACCGAAAGAACTAAGAGTATGAATCATTGCAGTCACGAAAGCTTCAAATCTAGAATTAACATTTTCCTTCTTCAGGGCACGGGCAGAGGATGTACGCCCCGGTGCCGAGATGTTGCATGGCTCGCCTGGTATGCAGGAGGTCATGGGTTCAATCCCAAGCCTGACGCCTGTATATTTGGAGTGTGGGTGTCTCTCTCACCGTGTTCGCGTGGTTTTTTTTTTTCCTCCGGGTCCTCCAGTTTTTCCCTCCACATTTTAGAAATGTGCGTTCAGAGTATTTGGCTGCTGCTATCAATTTCCACGTGGTAATCCACTTAGTTGAACTATCATTTTGTGACCAGGTCAATATATAGTTAAGTAGGCCAATCTGGTAAAATAGTTGAGTTTCTTTAGTATGTATCTATCTTTAGCACCGTATGTAGCAAACCGTGCTAATTAATCAGGTGCGGGATCAGAGAGAAAAAGCACGAGGAGGAAAGTATCGGGATCGTGACTTATCATCGAAGGCGGTGCTTTGCAACACGGCGAAGCGTTGCGATCATTGCACGGCGAGGAGCTAGGGCCGACGGGCAGCGCGGGGGGTGAGGGGGGGGTCACGATGGACCCCGTGATCGATGGCCGTGCCGCGGGGGTTGCTGCAGCGATCGTGGCGGACGGCGTTATTACCATCGAGCGCGCGGTTGACGCTACTGTATTGGGTTTATGGGTCGGCCGAGTTTTTCATTTGGCCGTAAACCCCCTAATGTGTAATACGCCCCCCCCTCTCCAACCAACCGCTCCCCCCCCCCCACAACCACCCAGCTCCTTGCCTCTCCCCCCCCCTTCCGATCCCAAGATCCAGTGCGCACCGCAAGGCGCGGTTGTTTTAATGCTTTCCCGTTAAAACTATTTCCCACAAAAAACGAGAGAGACTTTAGCGATCCACGCAACCGCGCACCTGCGCTCCCCATCGCAGCAGCAGCAGCAGCAGCAAGAGCAGCAGCAGGAGCAGCAGCAGGAGCAGCAGCAGCAGCACCGGAAAAAAAAACCCAGCCCCTGGCGCGCGGCGAAATGCGCAACGGGCGATGCGCCTCCTCCCCGTGACGGATGCGCGCGCAGAACGGAGTTGCAGCCCACGTTGAGTGGTGGGCTATCGACTTACGGGGATGGGGGTAGGTGGGGGGGGGCAAGCCGGGCAGATTGGCCCAAGTCATATTTCAGGAATTCATTACTCAGGACGACGGGTTTCACACCGTTTGCGATATTACACGCGTGAGCCGTGCCCGTTAGCGAAGAGCCTCTCTCTCTCAGCAGGTACCCTCCCCCCCCACTCATCCCTTCTGTGCAAAATAACAACAAATACACCCGGCATTGCCTCTCCAGAGAAATGAATGAAGTGCGTTAATTAAATACGGTAGGGAAAATGCCTTGTGCGTCTTTTAAAATATATAAATTTCAGTGACGCGACAGAAATGCAAGAGGCGGTGCTGGAATAATTTGCTCCATGCTCAACAGCTGATGATGCGAAGGGGCGGGGTGGTGGCGCAATACGACCAAATCAACAAAAAATGAAATCAGTAAAAGAGTAAAATCGGCAAAATGTTTAAAAAGATGTTTGTCAAACACGAATTGAGACGAGCTATTTTTTGTTGGGGCCAAGTTAAAAGATAACAAAAATTCCATTCACCCGCTGCTTTGGATGCGACACCACCTTCCGTCCTGATTCCATCCCCGCTGAAAGGCTCTATCATCGGCCAATATCAATCCACCGCTGGATGGAGGCCTCCCCAAGCCTGTTTTTTGTGCGCGAGTGTGTGTGTGTGCAAGTTACATCGCCGTCTCACTGGCGGTCCGACGATGCAACCATCCACTCGGCACGCATATCAGCACGAGCTGATACCATCATCATGACTCTCCCCCCTTTTAGCTTCAAAACAAATTTCACAAAAACAGGACGCAGACTGCAGCTCGCACAAAAACAGAGCTGCTTTGAGTCGCCCCTGGATGATGGGACCCACACGCAATAAATAACTCATTGCACACACAAAGACACCCCGTGTAGCCTGCACAGGCTGTTGGGGCATGTGCTATTCATAAGCCCCTAACAATGGCTGGATGGAACACCAAAAGGGGTGTTGCATCCAGCACCACTCCGGGCCGCCTTTGTCTCTCCCCCCCCAGTACCGATGGTTACACATCGCACCAGGTACTAATTTAAGGCTGCTCGGACAAAGACACACAGACTCTCACACGCAAACGGCACGAAGACAAAGACCGCCCGCTGTAGCCTTAACAGACTGTTGGCTCAAACGCTGCTCGCAAACGCCTATGAATGTCGTCACGACACACAAGGGTCACCAGCACCACGCCCGGCCGCCTTTGTCTCCCCAGTGGCGATGTTTACACACCGCGCCAAGGTACTCATTTGAGGCCGAGTCGACCAAGGGGAAGCCCAGGGCCGGTTCAGATAATCGTCACTGGTGTTGGCCGTGAGCGGGAATCGAACTCGAGTCGCCGGGTTCGTAGCGCAGCTGGCCACTGCGCTACCGCTCCCCACAGACAAAGGTCCCCTGTATAGCCTTAACAGGCTCTAGGGGCAAGTGCTGTTAGCGAGCGCATACACACACACATAGGCGCTGCTGCACCAACCCAACCCCCACTGGTCATCGATTGCCTTTACAGCAGGGCTTGCGTTTTTAAATAAATATCGGGCGCTAATTCC